TTTTTTTTTGTTTTTGAGACAGGGTTTCTCTGTGTAGCTTTAGAGCCTGTCTTGGAACTTGCTCTGTAGACCAGGCTGGCGTGCGTCCCACTGCCTGGCTGGACAAATCAAATTAAAGCATCTTACAGATGCAGAAATGAGCAGAATCATGGATGTTGGTGCTATAAGACATAGGTTTTCACTAGAGATGGATGAAACATACATAGTTTAAGAACATGGATGATGTCAGGAGTGGGGGTGGAGATGGAGAACTTATTAATTGTGCAATATCCCTGAAAGCTGGAGAGCCCTTTGTGCTGATTTCCATCACCAAAGATGTAGCCAAGGATATCCTTAAGACATTTAACTTTTTGTTTATGTGTATGTATATGCCTGTATACGGGTCTGTGCATATGAGTGCAGGTGGTCCAGGAGGTGGGAGGAGGGTGTTGGATCCCTTACAGCTAGTTCCAGGCAGTTGTTAGTCACCCAACATGGGTGTACTAGTTACTTTTCTACCGCTATGATAAAACACCATGACCGAGACAAACTTACAAAAGAAAACATTTAATTGGTCCATCATGGTGGGGTAGTGTGGCAGCAATCAGCCGGCATGTTGGCTGGAGCAGCTCAGAGCTTACCCCTTGATCTTCAAGCAGGAGGCAAAGTGAGAGAGACACGCTGGGAATGTGGGAGCTACACCCCTCCTCCAACAAGGCCACACCTCCTAATCCTTCCCAAGTCCTTCCACCAACTGGGGACCAAGTTTTCAGTCCTATGGGGGCCATTCTCAATCAACCACCACAGTGGGCGCGAGGAACTGAACTCCAGTCCTCTGTAAGAGTAGATTGAGTTCCTAACCATTGAGCCACCCAAGCATGTTTGTAGCAGCTTTATTGATTGTATCTCCAGGTGAACAACCCCAATGAACCGTAAGAAGGAATAGAAAAGCCATCCACTGTGGTGTTTATGCAGCACAACCCTATGGAGCAGCTTGAAGGAACAAGCTTCTTTTTTTTTTTTAAAAGACAGGGCCTCACTATGTAGTCCAGGCTGGCCCGGAACTCACTGTGTGGTCCAGGCTGGCCCAGAACTCACCGTGTAGTTCAAGCTGGCCTGGAACTCACAGAATTCCACCTGCCTCTGCCTCCCATGTAAAAGTTGTGTTCCACAATGCTTGGCTTAAATGAACAAATGATATGTAGCATGGATGGGTCCTTTAGATAAGCCAAATGAAAGCACCCAAACCCACCAGAATATAATATAATAAATATGATGAAGAATTTGTTGTTGGGTGATTTTCCCATTGTGTGGGTACCACAGAGGACAGTCACACAGACGGAGACAGCTGTGAAATTGCTGGGCAACACTACCTTAAGGGACCGTTATTGTAATCTTGGGGTCCGTCACTGAGTAGAGCATCGCTATGGAGCATGTAACTGGCCTAAAGGGTGTGAAGTCAGAGGCCAGGCAGAAGTAACTGGTGGTGACAGAAATCAGAGTATTGGCCATGTGTGTGTGTGTGTGTGTGTGTGTGTGTGTGTGTTGTGTGGGTACACCTGTGTGTGTGCCTGTGTGTGTGCCTATGCGTGTGCACATTTGTGTATGTATATGTGTTTGTGTTATGTGTATGTCTGTGTGTATGTGTGCGTGCATGTGTGTTTGTGTGTGTGTGTGTGTGTGTGTGCGCGTCTGTGTCTGTGTGTCTGTCTGTCTGCCTGCCTGCCTGCCTGTGTGTTGGCAGTTAGTGTGGATAGGGAGCCGAGATGCTCTTTTTGTTCATAGGTTTGGGTTCTATGGGGAGAGGTACATTTGAAGTTCACTGAGCAGAACAGGCTCTTGTGTATGCTTTATGTGTGGATAAAACCAGCAGAGACTGGAGGCTATAGTCCACAGAGCACACAGTGTGTCAGCTCTGGGATGTATCACTGAGCAAGGGGATCTGCCACTAACATGGCAGAGACAGTAAACATACGTAGAGAGCTAGAACACCCCAGCCTCTTTCCTCTGGCCTTGAAATTGCTCTCGAGTCAGGATAACTTTCAAATGTACACTTGAGTCACTGAGACGAAAGAAACTGTATCTGTGAAGATGTGTGTAACGTCTCACTGGACACCTGATGTCCATGACCCCAAGGACACAATTTATGGAACCCTGGAGAATCAGTGTCTGTGAAATACGTAACATATTGTATCTCTCACCGTGTGCCCCTCCTTGTCTCCAGAACCCAAGGTGGTGTTTGCCAAGGAGCAGCAGGCTCGCAGCGAGGTGAAGGCAGAGGCGGGGGCCAGTGCCACACTGAGCTGCACGGTGGCCCAGGCCCAGACCGAGGTGACCTGGTTCAAGGACGGGAAGAAGCTGAGCTCTGGCTCGAAGGTTCGAGTGGAGGCCTCGGGCTGTGAGAGGAGGCTGGTGGTGCAGCAGGCGGGCCAGGCGGATGCTGGGGAGTACAGCTGTGAGGCCGGGGGACAGAGGGTCTCCTTCCGTCTGGACGTCACAGGTGGGTGCTGAGATGCCAGTTTATCTTGTGTAGAGGTGATGACTGATCAGATGTGTGGCTGACCACTGGGTCCTTCCTGTTACACTTTCTCTATTACTCATCTTCTGGCTTCCCATATGCCATCTTATATCTGTGTGCTCAGTGAGGCGAAACAGGCAGGCACAGGCCCTTCTGACACACCTTGATGGTGTCCATGTGGTGATCCTTAGCTGTATGTTCCAAGAGCCTGTCCAGTGTCTTTTGGTTGGTTCTGTTGGAATCAGTTGGTTCTTGGTTGTAAGGTGACCCTGTGACCTTCACCTGGGAGAGTGATCTTCCTTGGAATGGAGGCACTGGATACTTGCAGGTTCTCTTCCAGAGCTGTGCGTGGTTCTCCACGGCCAGAGCTGCCCACTAACTCAGGCTAAGGACAAGCCACAGGCCAGATACTTGGTCACACCTGTAACTGTCTCAAGACTGTCTTGGTATTCTCAGCTTTTGGTTTCTCGTGATCCCCTTCACTCCTTTCCCAGGGATTTGGAAGCTGGCCTCCTACACACCTGTCTGTAGGAGAATGCCTGCTGGTGGATGGTTGCACAGCGCTTGTGTCGGGTACAGAGCGGAGACTGATCAATGTGCTTCGATGTGCACTTGTCAGGGTGGAATGGTCTTTTCAATCGTTTCCTGTGTTCCTGTTGTTTTCCACCAGAACATTCTCATCATCAGCCCTTGGAAGCTGATGTACAAAGCTGGTGTGGAGAAGCGTTGATGTGGTGGACTGCCATGTTGCTGTGTGATTTGCCACTGACCGGAGTGCTATGAAAAAAAACTCAGCATGTCCCTGGGGACCGGGAGTCACCGGGCCTCTGGCTGGGTGCATGGAGAGGGCTGAAAACACACGCATTTTTTTTTGTTGTTGTTTGTTTTGTTTTGTTCAGACACGTAATGCTGTGTCCTTATAGGCTGCCTCTCTGCTTTTGGCCTGTAGGTTTCTGTTGTGTCCTTGGTGTCCTTCAGACTTAGTTCCAGGACCCCAGTGCAGATACAAAATCCTCAGATGTGACAGTCCTTTATGTAAAATGTTGGTGCGTTCACATCCAACCAGCACACGTGCTCTGTACATTTTCTTCTTTTAAGATGTATTTCACTTTTTAAAATTTGTGTGTGTGTGTGTGTGTGTGTGTGTGTGTGTGTGTGTGTGTGAGAGAGAGAGAGAGAGAGAGAGAGAGAGAGAGAGAGAGAGAGAGAGAATGTGTGTGTGAGTGCAGTGCCTGCAGAGACCAGAAGTGGGCACTAGATCCCCTGGAGCTGGAGTTACAGGTGGTTGTGAGCTGCCCAAACTCAGGTCCTTTGGAAGAGTAGCAAGCTTAACTGCCGAGTCACCTCTCCAGGCCCATCTATACACTAAAAAACAAACAAACAAACAAAACAATACCCTCCCACCTCAAAACACGCCATATTTATTTATTTCATGTATATGGAGGTTTTACCCGCCTATATGTATGTGTACCATGTGCGTGCCTGGTGCCCATGGAGTTCAGAAGAAAGCATCAGATCCCCTGGAGCTGGTAGTTGTGAGTCACCATGTGGCTGCTGGATCCAAACCCGAGTCTTCCGCAAGAGCGGCCAGTGCTTTTAACTGTAGAGTCATCAGAACCCTTTCCTCTGTACATCTCAGCTCATGTCCTGGGGATTGTGCTCAGGATAACGTCAGTGCCGCCAGTTGCGCATCTGTATTATTTGGGGACCAATGACAAGAAGGAAGCCTGTGGGCCCCACAGATGCAGTTCTGCTCCACCTCCATATTTTCTTTCTATTGCTGTTGTTGAGTCTGTGATACAGAGGGCCAATCACACCATCAATCATGAGCTCGGACAACTGACAAAACACCCTGCTGTTTCCTTGTGAGACATTATTTAAAGAGATTATGACAACTAATTTTATGGTTAAAAAAAATTGTAAATTGGGGGCTGGGGATATGGCTCAGCTGTTAGGAGCACTGGCTGCTCTTCCAGAGAATCTGGGTATTCCGGGTTCAATTTCCAGCACCCACTTGGCAGCTCACAACTGTTTATAATTCCAGTTCCAGGGGATCCAACACCTTCATACGGCCACACATGCAGGCAAAAACACCAAATGCATGTGAAATAAAGGTAAATATTTATAAAAAAAAACTGGCAAATTGTGACAATTTGGCTAATTCCTAGAAAGACATGTCAAAACTGAAAAAAGAAATTGAAAACTCAAACAACTCTGTAAGCTTTAGCTGAATTTCCATTTAGGAGTTTAAGAACCTTTTTTTAGGGGGCAGGGCATGCATCCAGCAGGAACAACATTCCAGAAGTTCTAGAAACAAACTGTTCTTTACTTACAGAAGTTCTCATGGTAAACAGGATGATGAAAGATGGATCATTTTATGGGAACAAAGTGATATGAAAACACACCTTACAGGGAAAATATGCAAAACTAGAAGGCCACGTGCACATCCAGGCCAGGAGAGTGAACGCCTGGTAGAAAAATGCTCTGCAGTAGTTGAAGACTGGGGGGAAAGGGAAGCCTGGCGTGAGGCGTTGGCTGGACACAAGGACAGGAGCTCAGGGCACCAAAAAGGAAATGCACAGACAGCTCAGTCAGTGCAGAATAAAAGTATTTCATGACACTTGCTGTCTCTGGTTAGTGAGATGGCTGAGTGGATGAAGGTGTCTCTGCCAAGCCTGAGGACACCTGTTTCCTGGGACCCACATGGTGGGAAGAGAGAACCAACTCCTGCAAGTTGCTCTCTGATCACACTCGTGACATGGTACACACATGCATACACACACACACACACACACACACACACACTAATCATAAAAAAATCAATTATCATCTCATATCCTGAAAAATCTTCAATAAATTCAGCATGAATTCTTTACAGAAACCAACCCCCCCAACTATAAAAACCAGAATTACAGGAAATAGCAGCTAACATCCCACTTTAGGCGAGGGATTTACCTTTGAAATGGCAACAAGAAAAGCCAGGGTAAGACAGCCAGAGTGGGACTTCCAGTCACCAGTTAAGAAAGTCCCTAAGGTAAGCATTGGGGTAAGAGCCTTGGGAAGGATCGCCTTGCACAGAAACCCAGCACACAGGAGACGTGGCTGCATCCACACACTGCTGCGAAGGTTTGTGGGATTCTACAGTACTCACAGCAACTGCGGAAGCATCCGTTTTCCAATCTGATGCCCAAGAAATGACATTTGGAGCCCAGTAAGGAAATGGTCAAAAGTTTTTGAAGGACTGTGATGAACATCGGGAGAAACCACAGAGGACTTAATTTCATTCCTAAGTCAGAATCCAAACATATTTAATGATTTTGAGTGTGATGACGCCCAGCAAACCGGTTGCAAAGGCCTCGCGTTCTCTTGAAGATAAGCAGCTGAGAGCATCTGCTTCGTGGGCTCAACCCTCATCATAAGTGACAATGAGAAGGACGGTGGGCCCGAATGTGCCGATGGAAGAGTAGAGCAGGATGAAATGGCTTCTGTACCAGCTCTTGGCTGGCGGCCATCGTAGGCCCCGCCCCTTCTTTCCTGAGTGTGACGCATAGAGATAGGACCACCTTCCCCACATTTGGAAAATGTGTTAGCCCTGGAAGTCTCGCCTAAAGCATTCATTGCAGTCAACAGTGCATTGAGTGACAACCTCAGAGAAAGCCAGTATGACTGACAGCTGAGTGTGCCAGGGCATTGCCATATGGGTGATTTCATAGCCAGTACATGGATACATGGCCTACAAAGAAACAGTAGATGTGTTGCTTCGTGAAAATACTTGATTTACCCGGAAAACACACACAAAAGTGAGAAATTGAAGCACACAGATGGGGAGAATATTTACAATACGTTAAGACTCCAGTACTCAAATACATACAGAGCTCCTAAAATCTGAAGAGACAGTGCAGGTATAAATGGGGTACATACAGAGCTCCTAAAATTTGAAGACAGACCATACAGGTATACACGGGATCATCCTGGAACAATGAACCACTGAAGAGAAAATGCAGGGGTTGAAAACCTCAGATCTCCACCACAGTGCCGCTGCATTGGCCTTTGAAGGGGCAGTCTCCAGAGTAGCTCTTACAACAGAGGCAGGATGTGTGTGTGTGTGTGTGTGTGTGTGTGTGTGTGTGTGTGTG